GTGCGGATTTTATTGATCGATTAGTTGCGCTTTGGACACCCATGATTGACTGGCCCGTCCAGCTGTGTCAGTTGGTGTACCCACTCCAAATGCCTCAGCGAGAGGATGGCTGCTGAAGTTATCCGGCTTTTGACAGCTTGCCGAAAACGCCAAGTAGTCCAGACCTACAAAAGCGCGTGCTAATTCCCCACAAAACATCGCTTCTTCTTCTTTTTCCCCGCCCTCCTAAACCCTGATCATTTTACTATTCTGTTCTGCTATCAGAAATCCGGAATCGCCTACAGGATGGGTTTGATGGCTCTGCGTGTCTGTGCAAACCCCCTTCTCAACAGCCCTGGCATGATAAGTGTGACGACGAGTCTTCTCACCACTCTTTCTGGTCTCCTAGTGGCCTCTGCGCGGCATTCCTATCGTCTTGTTAGGCGAGAACTCCTTCTCCTCATTGCCTCTCTTGACTGGGTCCAGCTGGAATTCCTGGAGCACTCGCGGGTACGTCGGTCTGTCTGTCTCTCTGTCGTTCTTTCCTCCAGACAGACCTTCCTCTTTCTTACTTACTTACTTGATTCGATTAGCTCCTGTTGTTGAATGAATCGTCTTCACGGATAGCGGCGGCCCATTGGCGGCGATCGGAAGCGAGCTCCTCGCAAATCTCAACCTATTGCTTGTTCCAGTGTCGCAAGCCATACATGGTTGCGAGGCCCATGCGTTCAACATCCGGCTTGACAGTGTTGAGCCCTGTCTTCAGTTGACCGCGCCATGTCGGTATCTCCCGTTTGAACTACGAAAGGGATTCACAGCCAGTCAGCAGAGTTCCGTCGATGTTTTGCGCAGGATATGTCCAAACTATTGCAATCGGCGATGCTAGATGTATGATGTTCGACTTGGTAGTTGGAAACTCAAGTCAAGTCAAGTTTATTAAAGGAAATATAGGCATAGTATTTAAGAGATGCATCGGCACACCCGAACATTTCAAAGAAGTCGTTTACGTAATTGAAGGCGACTATTCGCTTGTTTCAAGTAAAACGCCCACAGGTGGTGATGTCAGTTAACACGAGCGAGCAGTGTAACTGAGCAAGAAGAGCAGACAGTGGAAAAACTCCAAAGGCATGGCTCATAATTCAAAAGGGAATGTCATTTGTGGTTTTTAGGAGAAAAACTGTCGCTCGTAGGAGAAAGTATGTGAAAGATAGGACCAGCATGCTGCTGTGAATATTGGCGGGAGCCAGGGGGTCCATTAAGAGTAATATCTACATCCGAAGGGCCACACGAGGAGGAGACCTAAGAGGCACGAGAACGTCCCCAAGAACTGGAGATGCGACCATGATACACCCTTGCCGTGACAAGAGCAGAGAAACCCGCCACGCTGTCAGCGATATAGTTAAACATTGGAAATTTGGTCCTGCCAGGAGACTTTTGCGATGCATGGAGGACCCCAACGATCGAAGACTTCGCGCTATTGAATGTCTGTCTGAGAAGATGAAGAAGATGACTCGATCGATCGATTTAAAATTACTTCCTGGGACTCGCATGTTCGCTTGTATTGGGAATATCTACCTTTCTGACTGGCCATATTTCGCAAACGTATACTAACACCAGTCTGATGGATGCTCTGTATATCAATAGCTTAGTCCGTAAATGGATGTCTGAGGGAGTCCTGAGTGGTTTGGCTAGCAGCCTAAATGCTTCTCGCACCTGTGCGAGTCAGTTCCTATTTTTTGTTCTTGGTCCGTCCCTTGGCTATTGCAACCGGAGGGATGATTTTCTCATGCTCAGTGGCAGATACCTCCATCCAGCATTCCAGTTTAAAGTAATAGGTTTGCAGTAAACGGTGAATGCAGCGGTATTGGATGACAAGCAAAACTCAGCATCTCCTATGGCCAGAGCTTACGACCTTCTGGGCTAGAATTTTGCCAAATCAGTGCCAAGCCA